CGTGTCGGATCCTATGCATCGAAACGCGATCAGTGGGTCAGTTACGACGACACGTCCAATATAGCAAGAAAGGTATGTGTAAGAAAGATTATGCATCATTATCACGCCGTACATACACAAATTGCAGAGATACATGATCACATTATATGTTTTATTTAATTAATTTCAAATCGTACATATTTAATGATAAAAAGAGCACAATTGCGCGCAAATTCACAATAATCATAGAATAAAAACTCAATTTGTATTTTTTACAACTTTATATTAAAAATATATAATAACTTAATTTCTTTGACGCGCGTTTTTAAGTGACATTTAACACGACATATACGTATACATATACATATATTGCACATATATTATACATATATTGCTCTTTCACTTCTTATCTGCAATCAAATATTGCATTGTATTTTTACATATCTGATCAGGGCGTGAGAAACCGATATGTACATATAAATATATATGTTTACATATATGTCGTGTATATACATATATTGCACATATGTTGTATATATATCGCTCTTTCACTTCTTATCTGCAATCGAATATTGCATTGTACTTTTACATATCTGATCAGGGCGTGAGAAACCGATATGTACATATAAATATATATGTTTACATATATTTCCATACAATCGTGTAAATATTTTCCACGAATCTTTGACAAATTTATGACAGATGGATTGCTACGTTAATTAATTTAAGAATTAATAAACAAATAAGTGCAAAAATATAGCATCACTCGAGCTCTCTAATGAGGAAATATAATGAAGACGGCTTGAGTGACCCGGAGACACGGCCAGCTCAAAGGCGAATACGCAAACCTGAATCAAGATAAGAAAGATCTGAAAAGCAAGTGATATATTTTTCATGTCAAACGACTTGAAGTTGAGTTTGTTAAACAACCCTGAATAATACCCGGAAAATAGTGTCAGATATTAAAACAATATACGAGAACAAGCTCTCCAACGAACGGAAGCGTCACAAAAAGGCCACGGCCAGTTTAAGAACAATCCCCGACTCTGGAACATTTTGCCGGGTGCTCCGGGCAAGGTGGGCGGGATGTTCGAAATCTTTGCTGATTATATTCTCCTGATACTTGATTTCAAGAAATGCAGTTTCAGAAATTCTAAGAATAACAAATTGTCCAAAAAGCCGAAAAAAAGACAAAAATGCACTCAGCAAAATTTTCCAGAGTCGAGGGTCGTTCTTAAGCTGGCCGTGTAAATTAACAAAATGTGTAATTCCGAGATTAATGATTTCAAATCTGTGAAAGAACAACTAACAGAAGACATCGTAGTCGATAGAATGGTTATATCTGTGAAGAACTTTAAGACCAGTATTCTGAAAAAAGAAGGCATCCTGCAGAAACAACATGAAAAAAGAACGATTTTTTGTTATCTATAATCTTTGACTTTCTCACAGCGATGTCTATTATTTATTTAGTCATTTGTTTTTAAATGTTTCTATTACCGTAATGTCAACCTCTAATTGTTTGCGACGTTTGTTGTTACCGTTTGACAATCTTATCATTGTATCGTTAAAAACCGTAGTGTTAGGTTCTAATTCGAGATCCCAGTTGATCTTCTCGTGCAATGTATTCGAACGCTTTGATATGCGTAAGTAGTTCAAAAAATTATTGCATGTGCGCTCTCTCTCACATCGTCAGCCTCATAAACCTTTTACATATTTATACATATTTACAGACATCTGGAAATGTGGCTTACAACTTCGCTGGTACATTTCGTCTTATCATCAGCACTAATGCGTCTAGATCTCTCAACGTCTTGTGAAGATGTTGAGAGATCTCTACACTTCTTATTCATTGATTATTAATTTTTTATTTATTTATTTTTATTTATTTATTTTTAATTTCTGACTCATATACTGCGAACCGATTAGGAATATCCGATTTAAACCCGTGCGCTGAGAAAGGCTCAAAGAAAGAGCCGAAACGTCCGCTACCCACACATGTATGTTTTACATTGACATGTTTAAAATAAACTTGTATGCGCCCAAATAACTGCGCTTGGCTCATATTGCCAATTTTCATTTGTATTAGATTATCTATAGAGCCTTATACTTCTAATTTAAAAATGAAAAAAGAAATACACAATTAAAAAAAATTAAAACGGATATAAATATATTACGGAATGAAAATGAAGAAATAATAAACAAGTAAGTACAAAAATGCGGGATATGCAAAGAATATCATGGATCTGTTTTTTATAACTGAACTAGCTGCATTAGCTCAGAAATAAAAAAAAAAAAGACAAGAGAAGACAAAAAATTAACCAAAAGGCCGAAAAAATTGATAAAAAGTATCATGTCGGACGAATTACAAATTGCAGAGGTTAAAAATTATCACGATGGATTATCATCATATACTGAAAAAGTGCGTTCATTGGAAAGAAAGTGTAATATGAAATGGCCCGGCTGCAGGAAATGCAGTTTGCTTTGACCAATACTAGAAAAATAGTCTGCAATATATAATCTTTATATCAAAACGAGCTCTCTACCGAACGGAAATGTAACGAAGAGGAAGCCTGGAGATATGGCCAGCTTGAGGACGAAACCTGTGTAATTATAAAGAAAATCTTCAAAGCAAGTAAGTAAATGATATTGTATATTTTTAAAGTCAAACGACTTGAAGTTGAATTTGTTAAAAAGACCTGAATAATAGATTGTTTTCATTTTTTAATGGTAGATCTTGAAAAACATTAATTTGTTCTCTTTCTTCCATTTTAAAAGTGCCAATTGAAAGTTTTTCTAAAATAAACTTTAAATTTGTATTGATCTTTTTTTGCTATTGATTTGTCATCATTTTTAATTCCAAATCTATCAATTATCTAGCAACAAATCGTTGAAAATTTTCCGATTTTGTGAAACATTCAAAAATGTTTTTTCACGTGAAAAGAAAAGATAAAATTTTTGAAAAATTCTACAGATTAAAAATATGGAAAAAATATAACATGAAAAATAAAGATAAAATTATTACAGACTTATTTAAAAACTAACTTGGCCATCGATCTCTTATATTGGAATCACCTTACTCTTATAACAACCAAGGAAAAAAAAAGATATAAAGAGACTGGGAAACATATAGGATGTGAGGTGAAGAAAAAAAAAGATAAAGCCAAAAGATTAAAATTATATAGATTTTAAATTATTTACATTGTTTCTCTTTTTTTTATGGAATAGATATACTTTACCAGGCCCCACAAATGAAAGGACGAAGAGAATAAAAAAGTGAGGATGAACAAGATAATATGACATTTCTCACTTTTTCTATTAAATGAACAAATATTGCTTTCGACAATATTTGTCCATTATAGGGCAAAATTTAAATATTAAAAATATTAATATATATATCATCTTTCTAGTATAGTAGCTAACAAGAGACTAGAAGAAAAAGTAGCGAAGAAGAAAGTAGAAAAAAGGAAAAGGAAGAATAATGTGCAAAACAAAAAAGAAAAAGAAAGACTGCAAACTGATCTGAGAACAGCTAATGCATGATTAAGTTCGGCGAATGCCTTTGAAAAGATTTCGACAAATATTAAACATTTAAACTTACTGTATCTATTAGTTTTATCTAAATTGCGCTGAAGATGGCCCGAAGAATGGGACCAAAACGTACGCTCATTTTGTGATTAACACATGATAATAAACTATTTTTGCGCCCCAATTACTGCGCTTGGTTCATATTGCCCTTTTGCTATTTTTATTGTTACTAAATATTATAGTTTTTATTAATTTCTATGCTCGAATATAACAAATGACTCATTAACATAAAAAATGTAAAGTGTATATAATTTACTTATCCAAATAAAAGAAAACACATTGCGCAATTGTAATCTTTCACTACATTGAATATTTGTGATATACAATAAGCATTTTAATATATATGGATAGAGAGGTGGATAGAGAGGCGAGAAAAGAGGAAAAGATGAGCATGGACGAGGGAAAAAAGGATGGGGAGAGAAGGAAGAGGACGTGAGACAGGGGGGAGATGAGGAGAGAAGAGGAAAATAAGCATCATCGAAAGAGGGGAGGGGAGGATGTAGAGGAGAAATGTAGATGTTGAAAGAGCCAGGTCGGAAACGTGGAATATAGATTGTAAAGATTGTAAAGGTTCGGGAACGCACCTTAAAAATGCCTTTGTAACCCCCTTGGGGATCAAATAAAGGATATTATTATAGAAAAATGAATATAAAATAAAAGAACGCGTGTTTTAGCGAAATTTTATATATATATATACAGGGTGTTCGGTAAAGATTGTGCCAACGCTCGTGAGCGGGTAGAGCACAGTAAACTGAACAGAAAAGTCCTGTAACATTTTTTTTCTATAACGCTTAATACTAAAGGTCGATGCTGATTGGCCAGATTTTATTCAATAATAACTTCTTTATTAAGCGTTATAGAAAAAAAATGTTACAGGACTTTTCTGTTCAGTTTACTGTGCTCTAGCCGCTCACGAGCGTTGGCACAATCTTTACCGGACACCCTGTATATGACTTTTGTCGCAAACAAAAATGTAATATATGTTATCTAATACTTATTAAAATTTATTGTACAATAACGTACTCATATTTTTTTAGACATTATTTTTGACAGAAGATTCAATTATGGTTCAGGATACAATACATATTTCCACAAAAATTAAAACAAGACTGTTAAAAAGTAATGCGATGCTAATGAAAGAATATTTTGTTTCGAAAGAACACCTAAAAGAATTGATAGAAAAATATTCGAAAACATCTCGTTTTTGAACTTCTTATCATTTAGACGGTAAGTAGCTAATCTTTCTTTTTTTAGCACCATTATTATTCTTTTCTTTATCATTTTGTTTTCAGAAAGCGACAAAATGAATTTTGATGCTATTAATAAAATTTGTGATCCAAAAGTTTTAAAATTGTTAAATAATAGCAATGCAAATGCAACTAAACAGCTTCTTTTAATAACATGTTACGTTTTGGATTCTTATATTGATAAATCCATAAGCATCGAGTTAAGAATTTATTATATTTGGTATGCAACTTTCGTTTTGCTATTATGGAGAGCATGGCTTAAAAAACAAGATTCTTTTATCCTGTCAAAAAACTGGTTGGCTTCAAATACCTACACATGCATAGAGTTAAACGCTCATGCTATACTGCTTTCAGAACTGTGTAGAAAACAATTGTCTAGAATTATTTTTACCTTGGCTATTTAGTAGTCAATCATGCGAAAAGTTTTTTTGCCAAACTAGAGCCATGTCGTCAACTTATTCCACAATTACAAACTTTGACATGTTAGATTTGCTAAACAAGAATATACGAATTTAATGTTTGAATAATATTTCAGTTGATTCCGTTTAGTATTTATACATCATATGCATATCTTTAAGTTATGAAGTATTAGATATTTATTCCAAATTAATGATATTAATTTTTAATTGTTTCAGGTGATCATTCCAGATTTCCTAGAGAAGATAATGCAAAAATGGAAAAAAACAGTTCAGAAAAGACTGAAATTTCTTGTCACATTCCAAAAATTGAAAAATTAAAACCCTTTAAATATAATTAATAATTCATTTAAATATAAATCGATAAAGCTAAATAGCAAGAAATTAGTTGATGCAATAAAATTAAAAATTATTTTGTATAATCCAAACCATGTTATGGAAAATGTTGATTTGTCTGCGAATTTAATACAGACTTCTAAAAATGAAAATTCAAACGATACTGAAGCCGTTAACAATTGTATGTACAAAATAAAATTACATACAAAAGACTCGCGAGACATAAAAAATGATATGTACTACGTCCAGCGAGAGAATAATCTCGGTCCGCGCATAGGCGGGCAAAGTGGGGAGAACATGGCAAGATACTTAATACCATATATGTAGATACGGCTCCCTCGGGCCCGGGACTATTATCACAGTTTAGAAAATTAAACGGATGAAATAATCTCGATTAATTTCAATATAATATAAAATCGAAATCTGATTCTTACACGCGATACGAAATTAAAATAAGGAATAATATGATAGGCAACTATAAGAACAAGAGTTGTAATATATTTAAATTATACAGTTGAATGTTTATAATTTACAAAAACATTAAATCCTTAATATTTTTATTAGGGATCGTTTATACTACAGAAGATTCTAGGTTTTAGGCATGCATATAAAAGAAAACTGAGTACGCAATGAGTGAGGTTAACATCAAATATATATTTATTTTGATGGTCTTGTATAGGAGGGATAAGGTCTATCCTTTCCCAGGTAAGTCAGCAGAATATTATGAAATACGTATATATACAGAATATGAATATGAAATAAGTAATAATAATACGTGAAGGAAATAATAATAATAATATATGTGAACAAAATAAGTAATAATAATTTTTTGAATAAAATAGGTAGTAATAATGTGAACAAAATAATAATAATATACGAAATAAATAATAATATAAATATGAAATAAGTAATAATAATATACAAAGATGATATAAAATTATAATGACATACAGACTGACATACAGGATTAATAATCGCTATCAGAGGTTTCTGAATCTGTTTCGCCTGTGACATTAATTATTAATGAAGATATCCCGTCAATTATTCTATCGGCTATAGAGTCGACCTCCCACATCTTTTTCTTTTCATTTCTAACGTGCTTAATAAAATTAGTCTAATGTTCAGTTGTTACACTATCAACACCTTGTTTAAGTAATAATTTGACGTCCTGGATTTTAAAAGTATTATTATTATTCTTAACGTATCCCTTAACCATTGACCATACCATTTCAATCGGATTAAGTTTGCAATGATACGGAGGTAATCTGAGAACCGTTTTGTTGTCCTCTTTTGCCATTTTGTCTATGACATATCTATCAAATTTATTTTTTGTTGTGCAACAATTTGCAAGAGTTCAGCCTTTACCATAGACTCTGATATTTCTTTTCCTTTATCTTCTAACCATTGTATTATTTCGCTTTTTTTCAAGAAGTATTCGGCAGTTTCTCCAGTTTCACGGAATGATATGGAGCATTGTCCATGACAATAACAGCATTATCGTCTAATAATGGTAAAACATTTTTAAACCATTCGTGAAATGTGTTGCCGTTCATTTCGTCGTGGTAATCCCCCATATGTTTCTTCGATTCAAAACATAGAAGCCTGCCAGGAACGAAACCAGCAGCTCTGCCAATATGCAAAACAATTTACCGTTTGCCTTTTCCGCTTGGATTAGCTGGCCCCATTGTCAATCCTCGGAGAAGTCCTTCTTGGATTTAATTGTTTTATCCATCCAAACTTTATTCGTGACGTCACTGGCGTTAACCCAAGTCTCGTCCAGATAATAAATTTGCCTGCCCTTTTCTCGGTATTTCTTTATAGCCCTCAAGTAATTTCTCCTCCAAATGATTAGATCTTCTCTCTCTGTTAGGATACTGTTGCGGTGTCGGGTGGTATATGCAAAATTTAATTCTTTTAACAATAAATGAAAGGTCGATCGTTTAAAATTTGGAAGATCTTCGTCAGCGTTTACGGCTTGCAGAACTTTGTTCAACGTTGGTAATTCTTTATTTATGTAAAATCCGTGCACTCTTCTCCGAATGACATTTTTATTACATTCGTCGATTTTTTCTTTAAAAGATAAGCGACGTTTCCTTTTATTTGGAGATGTAACCGCACCTGTATTCTTATATTCCAACAATATATTTTTTTTATGCTCGAAATACCAATACCCGTCTGTTCTGCCAATTGAGCATCTTTATTTGAAATTTCTGGATTGTCTTTTTTCAATTTTTTTTGTGAATTAATAAGAATGAGCTTCTGACTGCTGTGGATCGATTGAAAATACAAATGAAAAATATAACCTTACAGACCTTATAACCAATATAGCCTTATTCAAACAATTTATTAAATTTCAACATATTTTTCTCGCAGTAAACTCATACTAAAAAGGACACTTTAAACTTTAAAATTGCAGTCTCCGATATACTACAAATAGATTAATAATTTTTATTCATCATTGTTTACCTGGCCTCGTTTATTTTTCTTCATAGGAGATGACATTAATGGCACTTCAATATTCAATTCTTGCATCGCACTTTGTAAATACTTTTTTGGCAGAAAAACACTAAAAATACTCGTTAACACTGCACCAAACCCGACCATTTGGCATACTGACAGTTGCAGTTATTTAATCTCAAAATAACCAAGGGTTATTTTGCGACCCAAAGTTATTCTCTCGCTGGACGGAGTATAAATACATTGGCAAGAGTAACAAAGTCAGAAATAAAAGATTATACACTTTTACGAAAGAAAGTAATAATAAGTTTAAAGATAAATCATTTTTTAAAATGCAAATTAAAAATAAGATATTATTGATAAGAAAATTGACACTATGTTGGTTTTTTGCTACGTAATAATCGTACGTAAAATAGAAACTATAAATTATATAATTTTATTTTTTAAACAACTATTCTTTGTATAGAGCATCTCGAAAAGAAGGGTATAAACTTAGGACCTGCGATTCTAAATAAAATTATTTGGTAAAAATGCATAATAACGGACCCAGCTCCAATGATCTTGACCTTGACATATGTTGTCAAGATCATGACACTGAGTAACCTCCAAAAGGTTTTAGTCGTCGCTCGTTTTTTATTAAAAAGTTATTAACAAAAAAAGTTTGAAAAATATAGCAGTTATTTTGAGTATTGAAAGGCATAAATGATTAATATATATGTGGAAATAGTATATGTATGAACGATTTCTTGCTTTTCCTATACAAAAATTGTGGAGTAGATGAATAGAGAAGTTTAACGATTTGAACGTAATTGTCTGACACCGTGTAGCATAAATTTTAGTTTTAAATTAGAAATAGGTTTGGGTTAGGTTATATCTTCCGAAAGTGGAGCCCCCCGTAGGGGGGGCCGTAGGGGGGGGGAGGGGCGGAACCCACTGTGTCCACGCATATACTTTACAAAGCAAAGCGAGATCCCTAACAAAAAAGTTAACTAAATAAAACGTAATTTTTCTGATATCATGTACATTTAATACAGTGTACTTTAGCACACTGCCTTCCTACCTACCGTATTCATACTATAACATACTGTTTATTTATGTGTCTTTACTAATGTAAATAAAACGATAGAGACTATGCCTAAGATATAAGCATATCACAACAAACCTTCTCAGTTGATCTTCGCTCTTCTTCGTAACTACGAAGAATTCGGATGACTTTTTTCTCACACAGATATTCAATAAGCTGCTGTTTATTATGCGTCAGATTTATAAATTCGTGAAGCAGCATTTTGTGTTTAATTCCTACTCACAGTTGTGAGTAGGAATTAAACACAAAATGCTGCTTCACGAATTTATAAATCTGACGCATAATAAACAGCAGCTTATTGAATATCTGTGTGAGAAAAAAGTCATCCATCGAGAAATAATATGTCCGCAGTGCAATACAATTTCAAATATAAAATATGAATCGGATGTACATATTCTACACTGTACAAATAAATATTATAAACAAGTTCGAAGACGAAAAAGACAGCGAAAAACTTGCAATTTTAAAATCAGCATATTTCATGGTACCTGGTTCGCGAAAGGACATTTGAATTTAGAAAATATATGTCGATTCATTGCGTATTTTTTATATATACATCCTCCACGCCGAAGTTTCTTAAAACAGGAACTAGAGATTAGCGATCATATAATAGTTGACTGGACCTATTTTTGTCGTGAGGTAAACATTAAACATAATTGATTAATATGCGTCTGTTATACATTTGATGAACACATATTTTTATTCTTTTAACTCTTTGTTTCTTTATCTCTTTATTTGTTACTATAAATAGCTATTAATGCAATGGATTACCAATCATCAACAACAAATCGGCAGACCAGGCATTATTGTTGAGATAGACGAAGCAAAATTAGGGAAAAGAAAAAATAATAAAGGTCGCGTTCTTAGAGGCCAATGGATTTTTGGAGGAATAGAGCGAGACAGTGGGAAATTATTCATTGTTCCTGTATGTGATCGTTCAAGTCATAATTTACTTCCTATTATAACTCGCCACATAGCACCAGGATCGATTATTTATTCAGATTGTTGGAGAGCGTATGGACAGTTACGTAATTTACCTTATCAACATAAAACTGTAAACCATAAACAAAATTTCGTTGATCCTACCTCTACAGGCGCTCACACACAAAATATAGAGCGTTTGTGGCGCGAAATGAGAGCAGCATTACCGCGCTATGGTACTCGTACGTATCATTATGAAGCATATCTTGCAAAATTTATATTTAAAAGACATTATAAGTTTAACCAACGTTTCGAAGCTTTTTTCGATATAATGAGTAAAGCATATCCATTATAATGACATTATAATAACATTTAATAAACTCTTTTTCATTATATATATAAAAATGTATTATTAATTTCTAAAGTTATAAACTTTCCTTAAATATATCCACCTCACAATTCTTGTGTGGATGGAAAAGTGTATGCGTGAACGCAGTGGGTTCCCCCCCCCCTACGGGGGGGC